AAATCAGAGGCAGGACTAGAAATCCAAGCCCCCTGACTCTGAAACAGATGCTCTAGACCTGTCCAGATTTAGAGTTAAATCTATCAGTGTGAGGTAAAATAACCATTTTTTTTCCTCATTTGCATTTGCCGCATTCCAAGTACCCGAAAGCCATATGTGTCTGGTGGCTACTGTATTTGATGAATGCAGGTTATTAGAACAGTTCCATCATCAAGAAAAACTCTATTCGGCAGCACTGCCCTTGACCCACTACATGTACTGCCCCTATGTCCTCAACTTTAAAAGTTAGGACATCCTCCAGACACCTTTGTTTCCCTGTCATTGGACAGAGATGGACTGTTCTCTGCAAAAGGGAGTCATTATTTGTCAGGAGAGATGAACAATTCATACTTCATTTACTCATTCATTCATCCAACAAATCTTTAGCGGGTTCAGTCCAGAGCCAGACGCTAAGCAGGGTGCTGGGGACACCAAGAGGAATTGGACACAATCCTTGCCCTCGGGATGTGCACAGTCTAGTGGGGGAAACACAGGTACATCTTGATGGAAGTATCCAGGAGGGACACCTGTGTGTGTATGAGTTTGCCAGGTGGGTAAATGCTTCTGCAGTCACAAAGGACAGAGAAGTGAGCAGGTGTAGAGTGACTTTGTCCCCCAGGGGACCTCTGGCAATGTCTGGAGACAGTCTGGGTCGTCACAACTGGGGCAAGGGGGTACTACTGGCGTCCTATGGGCAGAGACCAAGGATACTGCTAACATCCTGTAATGCCCAGGACAGTCCCCGCCACAAAGAATGGTCCTGCCCACAATGTTAGTGCTGTCAGGGTGGAGGACCCCTGGGCAGGGGCTGCACTGGAGACCTGCACGTCCCAACCTTCCGCCCCACGGCCACGGAGAAGGGAAGGTGCGTGGGAGCACACACGAAGTGAGAAGCTAGTGTAGAGGGGTTCAGGGAGCCACTGAAGAATGTTAACAGATTCAGTGGAAGGATTAGATGTGCACTTTAGAAAGGCCCCTGTTGGGGTCCAGGGTAGGCCACCCCAAAATGTGCCCGAATGGCATATTGACGGCATATTGACATACTGACACTCTGACCTTCCTTTCTGTCTCCATGAAAGCAGGAAATACCTCTCTCCTGTGAAAGGCGCCCTCCTTCCATCTGGAGATAGAAGGACACCGCTATCACCAAAGATAGGGAATTGGGGCCAAGAAGCCTATATAAACAAATCCTGTTACTTCTTTTAATTTTCCACCCCAAGCCCAAACTCTGTTTAGATTCTTCATTAATTGAGCACCCAAAGCCTAAGTTTCTTTGTTCTGTCAATTCCTCACAAATGTATTGTTTCTTTGTCTAAAAAATATAAAAGCTGCCTGCTCTGGCCATTTCTTAGGTCTCATTTCTAGGGGACCTCTCTGTACATGAATTAAAATGTGTTTCTTGGGGGAGGGGACAGCTCAGTGGTAGAGTGCTTGCTCAGCATGCACAAGGCCCTGGGTTCAATGCCCAGGACCTCCATTTAAAAAATAAATAAACCTAGTTACCCCCACCCCTACCCCCAAAATGTGTTTCTTTTTCTCCTGTTAATCTTCTCGTGTCAATCTTATTATTCGTCCGGCCACAGAACTCAAAAAGCTTAGAGCGGGAAACTTCCCCCTCCCCGACACCCCCCTAATTACTGGGTGAGAGATGGACGTAGCAGCTCTGGGGCCTGGTGACAGGCTGTAGCAGAACAGGAGAAGACCTTGCACTTGTCACAACTGTGACTGAATAACATTTGTGGGGGTGAGGGCGTAGGTAATCAGGTTTACTTACTTAGTTTTAGAGAAGGTACTGGGGATTGAACCCAGGACCTTGTGTATGCTCAAGCATGCACTTGAGCTGTATCCTCCCCCTCTTGAATAACATTTTGTGTAACTGAAACTGAGCAAGACCCTGTGGGGCCCTCCAGGGTGCAAAAGCGCCCTTGAGTCTCCCATTTCTTGTTTGTAGAAAAAGGCTTTGCTCTACCTAGGCCTTCCCTGAGTTCCAAAGAGCAGACTCAAATTGTTACTAATTAAGGAAGTGAGAGCATATGCAGAAACAAAGAGAACTGCAGTCAAGAAACAATAGTTCAGAGGAAAAACAGAGTCCGAGTTCATCCTCAAGGGATCTGCATAACAATCGGACACATCTTTGAATTGTTCTGCAGGAACTAAGAGCCCCCACTCAGGTGGAGGATCGTGACTTCGTGCTGAGCCCAAGCCCATAGACCCAGACTGGTTGGAACTGGAAGGCTGATAATTAGGATTCCCAAAACACCACCCTGTAACCTCACCACCAACCAGTCAGAAGAGAGTCATGCCCCCTGCAACCCTCACCCCCAAAGTTGCCTCTAAAAAAATCTTCCCCCCAAAAAAAGAAAAGAAAAATTAAAGAATGAAAAATCTTCCCTGAAAGCAGTCAGAGAGTTTGGGCCTGTGAACACAAGCCACCATACTCCTTGCTTGGCCCCCCTGAGTGTAAACGCTGTACTTTCCTACATCACAACCCCGAGTCGGTATATTGGCCTAGCTGCGTGCCGGGTGAGTGGACCCCAGTTCGGTTTGGTAACACAATTAGCTGCCTAACGTCTTTCTTCTCCCTTACAAGACTGTAAGCTCCAAGAAGACAGGGATGACATATATTTTAATTCACTTCCTAGCCTCAGGCAAATTAATTCCTTTGTGCCCTGGTTTTCCTCTCTGTAAAATGCAGAGATACTGGTAACCCTCCTTCTTAATTAAACAGTAGGTTTAAATGAAGAATCCAGCAATCCCACTCCTGGGCTACAAAGAAAGAATGTTGCCTGTCATTCCAGTCCTACAAGGCTCAAGCCATTAGCCACTGCTGCTGCCCACCAGAGGGGAACTGAGGATGGAGAAAAAAACAGGAAACAGTCTGTGCTTTGGATACATTGGCCCCTAGAGAGTTAAGATGCGTATCTAAGGAAAATTTTCAAATTGCCCCATACACAGAAAACCACTAACATCATTAACTTGAGATGTCTGTTCTTTGTGATCTTTTCATGGCATCTTTTCATGCTTGACTACATATTTTCCTAGCAAAAAAGTTCTTATATATCCTGGCTCCTCCCTCACCTTCCCAGAGCAGCTCCTCAGAGCTCCCTAAGAGGCTGTCTCCCGGGCTACAGTCTCAGTTAAGTTCCCCAAATAGAACTTAACTCACAACTTTTACCTTGTTCATTTTTCTTTCAGTCGACAGGGTATATACCCCAAAGAACTGAAAGCAGGGACCTGAACAGATATTTGCACACCCATGTTCATAGCAGCATTATTCACAATAGCAAAAAGGTAGAAGTACCCTGGATGTCCATCAATGGATGAAGGGATAAACCAAATGCGGTCCATACATACTGTAGGCTGTTATTCATATATGAATAAACAAAATCTGCATACATGCCACACCATGAACCTTGAAGATGTCATGCCAAGTGAAATAAGCCAGACACAAAAGCACAAATATTTTGCGACTCTGCTTATATGAGATACTAGAATTGGCAGACTCGTAGAGAGTACGCCAGTGGTTACCAGAGGCTGGTTGCACAACTGTGTGAATGTCCTTAACGCCACTGAGTTGTATGCTTAAAAATGGTTAGGATGGTCAATTTTATGTTATGTATTTTTTACCACCACCACCACCGTAAAAAAGATGAAGTGAGATGATTGTGTAAGGCCTCTTAGCATAGGGCCAAAAATTCATTATTACCACTTTTTTCCCAGAAGTGTTCTAATAAAGGGAGGAACCAAGAGCTAAGGGAACAGAGGCAAGCGAGTAGGCTAACGTATCTGTGGGCTGCGTCAGGGACCACACACGGCGGAGGGGACCCTGGAGTGCCACTTGCTGCAGAGCTGGAGGAGGTGGCACTGGGAGGCCAAAGCTATGGCTCCTAATGAGACAGGAAGGAAGGGGTTAGGGCACAACCACCCAGGGAATGACGCAGCAGTTAGCACCAAGACGGAGAGAGACTCAACTCCCATACACCTTGAGGCCCAGGATGGCAGATTTGACTTCCAGTAGACCTTGAGCTTCATTATACACATTGTAATGTATTATCGTGGTAAATGGCACACCCACGGCCACCATGACAGTTCCAAGGCTGACCATAAAAGGTCAAAAGTGGTGGTTGGCCCAGTTTCTGGGAATCCCAGCCCCTTCCCCAAAGCAGTTGGAATAATCCTTCCACTTATTAGCATATGAAGTTACCAAGCCCATAAAAACTAACAACCCCCACACCTCGTGGCCTTTCTCTTGCCTTTTGAAACAGCCTGCATTCTATGCGGTATATATCTCTCTAAATAAGTCTACCTTTACTCAGCTGTGGCTCGCTCTTTAATTCTTCCCTGTGCAAAACCAAGGACCCACCCTTGGCAGGGCACGTCCCAGGGGCTCAACCGAGACCTGGGACATGGCCATCCTCTCGCCCCACATTCATGTTTACTGCATCACTATGAGCCTGAAACCACCAGACTCCATCTCTGGACGGACTCCACACCCCTGCAGAGCAGGAGCTGGGGGTTCCACGTGGGTGAGCCCTTCTGCATAACTGCCTGAGGGCCGTTCTTTGTCTTCACCAAGGCAGGAATTTCCAGGCCTGGGGGCATTTGCATTTGGTGTCCTGACTGCTGACCTGTTCCAGCAGCTGCCAGATCAATGATACACTTTCTCTGAAACCCCAAGGGCAGGCAGAAAATAAGTTAGCCTGGCCCTCCCGGCTTTTGTGTCATAATTAGGATTTTATTCCTTGTGCAGAGAGAAAACAGCCAGAACACCTGCTCCTAGAGGCACCAGTTGCCACCAGATCTCCTTGGCTCACTCTTTTTTTTTTTCATTTGTTGTATCTCTGTTTATTTTTTTTTTAATTGAAGCATAGTCAGTTACAATGTGTCAGTTTCTGGTGTACAGTATAATGTTTCAGCCATACATATACATACATTCATTTTCATATTCTTTTTCATTATAGGTTACTCCTTGACTCTGTCTTTACATGTATATGATTTTAAAGGAAAGACTGTTAGAAGTCCAACGCAATCATTTTACAGTGAAGCCAAGAAGATGCCGGAGAAGTACATGGACTTGGAAAGCAAGGGCTGAGGTTCACATCCCAGTAAACTAAGTAACTTAGCAACTTAGAGCAAGTTCTTTAATTTCTGGAAGCCACATTCCTTCTCAGAAAAATAAGGATAATAATACCTTTCTGTTGGAGATCTTCTGAGGAATGAACGCCAAGGTGGAGTGTAAACACACGACAGCTGGCTGGAGGGAAGCTTGACTGCACCTCGGAGAATGTGCTCTGTACCCACCACGGCTCCTCACTCTCCATCTCTCGCCTCGTGTTGTCTCCCTGACATTTAACCTCACCTGAAATTGCTCATGTGTGTACTCATTGGTTTTATTCTTCCCCTTGCTCCACCAAAAAGTAACTGACCCACTCTGGCCCAGCACCTAGGGCTGCATCTGGCAATCAGTGGCACTGAGTAAACATCTGTGGAATTGCTAGGCAGGTTAGATAGAAATGAGCACTGGGTAGAGGGAGTGGAGGAGGAGAGGAACAATCCAGAAAACGGCAGTGTGTCTGCATTCAAGAAAACGGACTCCAGAAATTTTTACTTTCTCTAAATGAGGGCCAGCAAAAGAAGCCAGTTAAAATCAAAACACTGCAGCTGCGCGTAAGAGAAGGACTCCGGGTAACCTGACCCAACGAACCTGCCCCAAAGGGGATGGGAGTGCCAGACCGCAGGGAACCAGAGTTGTCAATCGGCCTGAGCACAAGGAACCTGAGCTATCAATCAGTCTAATCACTCAAAGAACCTGAGCCACAAATCAATCAATCACGAAAAAGCCCCTGAGCCAGGATATAACAACAGGAAGAACAAAGGAATGGCGCCGTTTTCCCTTTTTCCCTTTCGTGGATTGGCCTGCTCTCAATTCTCGGGCGTGTACCATCTTTTCACTAATAAAAATCTTGTTTATGTTACGCTTTTTGTCTCTCGTCAAAAATTCTTTTTTTTTTTTTGGGTGACTAAGAACCGAGGTAATTCTTATTTCCCTTTTCCTGGTGGTCACAGAATAAGTGGCTGTCCACAGTCACCCTGGGATTAGATCAAGCCTTGTTTCATCAAAGCGCCATCCAACGCAGGGGCACTTTAAGTAAATTATGTCAGTAACTGTTGAGAAGCCATCAGCCCAAGAGATGCATTTAGCTGTGTGGACCAGAAGTAGTTCCTATCTCTAAGGTCTAGAAAAGGAGAGTAAATAAAATAAAGACTTTTTCAGGGGGAGGGTGTAGCTCTGTGGTAGGGTGCATGCCTGGCATGCATGAGGTCCTGGGTTCAATCTCCGATACCGCCACCAAAAGAAAGTAGATAAACCTCATTACCTGCCAACTAAAAAACAAATTTTTTTAAAGAAATCTTTTTGTACCAGTCCCTCCTTTGCTGACCGACCCAGTGTCCAGGTAACCCAGGAGAAACACTGGGGGTCTGAGGGCAGGGGTGGGATGTGATATGGGGTGGGTAAGATTGAGTCGGGGGGGATGAAACAACCCAGAGTGGGACTGGCTTTTCTCGAATTCTGACTCATGGCTGTGCAGTAGTACTTTGGGGAGTTGTGTTCTTAGAAATCATTGTGTTGAACCAGGTCAGCTTAGTAGTGAAATGTGTAGCTCCAGGTCTAAACCTAGGTCCATCCCTTACCTCCTGTGTGCTCTTGTCACCGCAGAATCAGCCCCAAGCCGGCCCTGTCCTGGTTCTAACAAGACCCTGAGCTGTTTTTCAGAGACAAAGAACAAAACGACAAGTCCTGCAGCCAAAGCATGCGCAGAGGAGAGAATCTGGACCTCAAACAGCACCCGGAACCACACTTTCTTCTCCCCTTCCACCAACGCACGCACGCACGGAACCAAAAAGCCGGGACATGACCGGAAAGGAAGGCCGGAAGTTTGACGGAACCCCAGAAGGGGAGACAGATTTGAGCCGTGCCTCCTGTCTCCTGGCAGGTGGGCCTCGTGATAAAGTTCTTTCTTTTCTCCAAAGTCGGCGTCGTCATATTGGCTACTTTGCGCCCTGGGCAGTGAGCCCTATGCCCTGTGACAATCTGAAGTCAGGTTTGTTGCCTCTCTGAGCCTGAGTTTCCTCACCTGTGAAATGGGATGATAGTAACCCAAGGTACTTATTAAATGAGATCAGTCACCCAGCAGTCAGCATAGTGCACTGTCTTGAAATACTTTTCTAGGCCCAAGATGGAGCCACTCCCGCCTGGGGCGCCAAGTCAGCAAACCAAAACTTAGATCACTTCCACGTCCCTGTAAACGCTCCGCCTGATCACAGACACAGTCAACCCACCTGGTCAGCCAGTCCCCGAGAACCAAGCTAACTCTGGGCTCTGTACTTACTTCCTGGTTCCTTATTCATTTTCTGATTTTCTCTTCCTTGTTCCTTATTCTTTACCCTGTCAAAAGCGTCCTGCCTTCTGCCCCATCTTGCAGTTCTCTGGACACCTGGGAACATAGACTGCCCATTTCGTGAAGTGTTAAAGCGTTTGTGTTGCCAAACACAAGTTCGTGTGCCTGACACACAGTGGGACCTAACCAACCGAAACATCGGAGTTTGGAGAAGAGAAAATTTATTGCAGGGCTGAGCAAGGAGGATGGGCAGCTAATGCTCAAAAAGGAACAAAACAAAACAAAAAAACCAGAAAAAACTGGAACTCTCCATTGGTTTGGGGGAGGAAAATTTTTATAGACAAAACTTGGGGTGAGGGCAGCAAGGTGTGTGACTTTCTTCTGATTGGTTGGTGGGGAGCTAACAGGGCGGTGCTCCAGGAGCCCTGTCCTCAGCCCGAAGTTGCCATCCTCCTCCTGGGTCGGGGCCTTAGATCCGGCAGAAGAACTCCAGATGTTGTTATGTATATTCCCTGAGGAGGAACCAGGACCCTGCCCCAAGGCTGCACCATTGTTTCTTGACTGTTCCTCCCTTGTCTCTGCATTCCCTCCCTTCCCTGATTTGAGTCTGCCTTTTGGAACTCAGGGAAGATCAAGGAGGCTGAATGAAACCTATTTCTTATACACAAGAAATGGGGGAAAGGATTTGTACCTGGGAGGACCCACAGGGTCCTGCTGTTTTTCATTTGTATCATGTAAATTATCATCTTTAGTCATTTTTAACAGCACTCAGTACAGGGGAGCAGCGGGATAATTAGCTATCTTTTCATCCAAATGAAATGTTGAGATCCAGAGTAGACAGGACTGCCGGTTGGTGGCAGAGCATAGAACTCATTGCTCTTCGTTCACGCTCTTTCCACTCTCTCTGGTGGCTGCCATTTCTTGTCCCCGAGGGCCTTCGGTCTAAGAGGGGTCTCAGGAAACTTCAAGGATGACAAATGAGGCTTAGCATGTGCAGTAAAGTAAATCCATGCCTTGTGATGCTAGAATCTTCAGAAAGAATTCCCTACCCAGAGGGATGGTGATAAATATAATTTAAAAAAAATTTTTTTTCTAATGGAGGTATCGGGGATTGAACCCAGGACCTCTTGTATGTTAAGCACACACTCAGCTACTGAGCTATTCCCACCTCTTGACAAATACAGTTTATTGAGTACTTTCTCATGTGCAAGACACTGGTTGAGGGCCTAAAACGATTGTTACTTAATCTCCAGCACAACCCTAGGAAGTAGGAGCTGTCATGCTCCCCCTTTTATAGACGTGGAAATTAAGGCCATAAGAAGTGTAACTGGTTCAAGGCATATGAAGAAAGTTCTAAGTGGAGTTAGGCAGCATCCCCTCCTTGTCCCCTCCCCAGATTGGTGTTCCAGTAGTAGAGTCCTCCCATCAGCACTGCCTCCTGCGAAAGTACAAGGCTGTGGGGGAGGAGGGTATGGCTCAAGCGGTAGCATGCATGCCTAGCATGCACAAGGTCCTGGGTTCAATCCCCAGGACCTCCTCAAAAAATAAATAAGTAAACCTAATTACCACCCTCCCCCACACAAAAAAAATTAAAAAAAAAAAGACTCTACTAAGCCCTACCAATCGTGCACATTCAAAGTGTTTGAACCCGTTCACAGTAGAATTTCAGAGCTAAAAGGACTATGAGCAATATTATTAGCTAATACCATGTCAACTATTGTTGTGACTTCACTTAACCTTTACAAACAAAAGTACACTGTAGGTCCCATTATTTCTCTTCTCTAACAGGCAGAGGGTAAGGGGCCACTGAAATGGCTTGGCTGATGGCTGGTAGTGGACGGGGAGTTGGACCCAAGCCACAGGCAGTCTTGTGCCCTCACTTGGCCCTGTACTGCCTCTTGGTAGATTACCTGCCCAGTTGCTTGATAACCTGTTTGTAGGCTGTTTGTAGGTTCAGGTGACCCTTTGTGAATCTGGGGTGGGGGGTGGAAAAAAAGGCATAAATACTCTCTTCAGACACATAACTCTGTGATTTTAGGGGCTTCCCAAAACTTCTGATATTTAGCAAAAAACCTCCAAAAACTAACCTCAGCTTGACCTGGACCCCCTTCCTCTCATCTCCCTA